TATCTCGTGCGCACGACATATATCTCGTGCGCACGACCTAAAATAACATCCCCCTAAAGTAACATCCCCGTCCTTCAACTGATATGACTTGAAATGTATAGCGTAAAGTGCCTGACACGCTGCTTTCGTTACACACAAACTCGTCCGCTGCACGTGCAGCAAGCTCCGTTAATACTTATAATTATCTCGTGCGCACGAGATAATAATCTCGCGCGCTCGAGATATATGACGTGCGCACGAGATATATGTCGTGCGCACGTGATAATTATCTCGTGCGCACGAGATATTATGTCGTGCGCACGAGATAATTATGTCGTGCGCACGAAATATATGTCGTGCGCACGAGATAATACACGACACAGAAAAAAAATGCATCAAACACTCTCTGTTTTTTTGCGCTAAGGTTTGCAAAAGTTACTTTGATTGCCTTAAATTCCTGTCCACGTGGAAAGAAAATTTATCAAAGTACTTCGAGCGTGATATTGACCGATACTTCAGTGGGTCAAACTTCGACTGCAGGCATCCATGTTTGCTGATTATCAGAATTTCATATTTTGAGTGCGCATGCGCGCAAACTAAATGAGCGGCTGAAACATACGTGCACTACACAAGAACACCAGCGAAATAAATCGCAACCTTCTTTCCATGGGCTGCATGTGCGTTCATCACACGAGGCATTTTCTAACTAACAGGCGCGGAAAGATCGTATCCGTGGGGAAGAGGTTGTGCACATCACTCTTTGTTGGAAACGCGTCACATTCTCTGGTGCATGGCGGCGAGTTCGATTCTGTCTGCAATTTTATTTTTAAGACTTTGCAAATAAATAGGTGTTTGTACTGAATCAAGTAAAATAGGGAATACAAGATGAAAAGATACTTACAAGCATTGCAAAACCGACTCTTGGCCTAACCTTCAGAATGAGGAAATTCGTCAATAAATCAAGAATTCCAAGCCAAAAACACTTTTTAATATGTGTACGTGTTAATTTCTTGGAATACTATGGGTAATTTCTTTACAAGTCATGTCACATGTAAGTAACAGTGCTATTTTCGATAATGTTTTAGTTTAAAAATGTACTCAGGATGTACTCGATATCTTTGTACTCGTACTCGGCCCGTACTACGACTCTGAAAACTCGAACACGGATTGTTGGCCCAGGACTCGACTAAAAAGTACTCGGACTCGGCCCGTACTCGGCACTGTGTGTACTCGGAAAACTTGGTACTCGAGTTTTGGTACTCGACTACAACACTGCAGTGATGTGGCCAAAATTGTTACGGTATTCACTCCATCCAGCTTCGGCTCTCAAACTCTCAGTTACTTTTTGTTTTGTGGTCATTATTAATAATGATTTATGGTGATTCCGGGAAAATGGGCGGATCGGGGGGGGGGGGGGAGGCGGTAGCCATGCCCCCCCCCCCACAAAAAAATGAAGCCAATTATTTTTTTTGATAGTCTGGTTCCCAAACCAAAAGATTCGGACTAGTGACAATTTAGACGTGAGCATCGGGATTAACTGTCAGGTCTGGGAACCAGACTATTTTTTTTAAGCGACGTCAAAGTTTATATTCAGTCTCATGAGGAGTTACAATGGGCAAATTGCACTCCCAATCCCCGGATAGTACGTCAGGAAAGTCTTCCAAATGCCATCTTCCAGTCATCTTCAGCACCGAATCGACGAGGCTTCCAGTACCCTTGAACACCATCCGGGCTGATTCGGGTATGCCGTACCGCTTCGCAAAGCTTATCTCCCAAAGACCGCTGGTACGCTCCGCCAGCTCGCCGTCGTGAAGCACAAAATTCCCCACGCGGTCTCTGCCGTGCCCGGTGATTCCGCCACCCGGTGTCATCGATATATAAAGGTCCATATGAAACCTCGAAGTTCCGGGCAAGGATATTTTGTCATCGAAATACGCATAATATTTCTGCTTGCCTACTGGAACGGGTGCCATGATGGTCAGTAGATCAGTATTCTGACACTGCAAATTATAAAACACAGAGAAATAAAATAATTTGCATATAATAACGGGCAAATTAAAAACCATGGAAGTAGAATTAGACTAATTAATCAATCAAATCTCTCGTTTATTATGAAGTGTCGTTTTTATTGTGAGGTGGGGTAACATTTCTTGAAAAGTAAAGGGCGCCTGCACATCCGTGGTAAAATGTAGACACTTTTTTTCTCGGGACACTTGGCCTCCGTAAAATCAAAAAGCTTGGGGGGGGGGGGGGCTGGTACCATCTGTCAATAGGGTGCTATAGTGCCCTCAGGGCAATACATACGTGGAATATAGCAAGAAATGGCCCCCGGAATTACCGATGGAACGAAAAAAGGCAGAACTTCTTTTTGAGAAAGGCCACTTGTTTAGACCAAAAACTCACTTTTTAACAAAAAAGGACACCCTTTATAAATTATTGGGGGGGGGTGTAAGCGCTGGTGAAAACGGACATTTAAACTTGGAAAAGGGCAGTCTTTACAAAATAATGGGGGGGGGGTGGTAATACCTCCTTAACACCCCCCGGCTACACCTATGATACCGAGGCAGAACTAGTCCCAGCCATGCTCATTACATGTAATAATCAAATATTAAGCGTAAACCATAGAGCTATACAAACAATACAGCGTAGACAAACCTTCCTTGGATGCAACCTTTCGTCCTGTATAGATGAAGTTTTCACCGAGTGGTTATTATAATAATCGCAAGAATCATCAATTCAGGAAGATCGGACTGACTATAGCTTCACAGGACTGCATTGTATGGTGAAACAAGTTGGTAGTCGTCTTCCCTATAGCCGGTGTCATAATGAAAATCAGACTCCTATTTGGACTCATTTAATCCCATTATTCGTTAAACCTCTCTAACGTGACCGGTCCTTTCTATTCCTAATTATCAATTATTCACGCGCATATTAACCACCAATGAGTCCGTATTTACATGGAGTCATAAATTCACGCTACACCTGCGCTGTACGTACTGGTATATGAATTATTTTGGACAATGGCACTGTGTGCATATGCCTCGACTTTGACCGTCAACGCAAGTATGGACCTTATCGCCGATACTCCGTTTTTGGCAATGCGCATGCGCGCGCAAAGGACAGTGTGCAGTGCCAAAAACGGAATATCCGCGATAAGGTCCATGGCAGAGTGAATGAAACATGCTGTTGACCATGTTTGCTTTTAAAGGTCACCTGAAATAAAAAGCGATATCGGGCTTAATAAACGAGCTTTGTATTGTAGAAAAAGACTTGTGTCGTTTTTCTTTCGTATCGTTCCAGATATCAAGCCATGATTTGTGCGAGAAAACAAAATGCACCAACGAATGTTTGCTATATGCTACGCCGAAGTTACAAACCAAATTCAATTATCGACTGTAGTTGGCACTGAAACTTACCAGGGCTCATGTAGTATGCTCTATCGCTTAAGTTACTTGTTGTCACAAGTCAACCCCCCCCCCCCCAGCTGCATATAATGTTATGATACCATGGGGCCAAATAGTAAATGTATATGCTAATTACGTTCCCAACTTCATTCTGAAATTGCCTTAGAATCCTGGAGAAACTAGATTTCAACATTTTCCCGGGAAAAGACTTTGTACCCCCATGGTACCCCTAACATAACTTCGGCACGCCTTCACCACCACCCCCCTCCGAGTTACTTAACAAAATACTACGGGTGTTGTGTGCCAAAGATTAGTGACGACACGTATAATTTAAACAAGTTTGTTTTGTGGATGCATTGCCGACCATACCCGTCTTTCATCCCAATGTTTAGATGATGACTTATTGTTACGACACGGCGTACGAGTTCGTCTACAAAATGCACGTTTGCATGTGTGGAAGCTAAGAATAGGAGAAAGACCGTTGTATAAAAGCTGATATTCCCGATGCGGTACGTGCTACTCATTTTAGTAAAACGTTCGACAGGTCATGTGGACAACAGTTAATCTTGCTCAAACTTGTTTGACATCTCAACTTCAACATTTTATTAATATATCTTCAACGTTTTATATTGATTTCAGTTTCCTTCACTCAAGCTCACACTACTTAATTTTAAAAAAAACTAGCATGGATTCATGACACTCAGTCTTTGATATTTTCATTACATTATTTTGTCTCTTCCGGCCCGGATCTGTTCATGTTACGGCTGATGTAGCTAAAACTGTTCCTTACTCCAGCTTCGGCTCTGAGATTCTTCCCTCAGTCACTTGTGTTGTTGTTTGGTCAGTATTGGTCGTGAATCAGGGAAATGGGCAGATCTGAGGGGGGGGGGGGACCGGTGGCCATGCCCCCCCCAAAAAAACCCACTATTTTTCTTGTTTAAAGTGACGTCGCAATAAAGGCAGACACTGGGCACCCCACCATCTTTCCATCAAAATAATTTGGTTAACTGTTGTCAGAAATTGCCTGAGATCGCACCACAGATTCGAATCCAACATTTTCCAGGGCCCGAACCCCTAACCCCCACCGTATTTTTTTGACCCACTTATTTTCTTTGCCCCTCCCCCTTGATCCGCCCTTGCGGGAAATCATGGGTCATTAATTCTCACGGAGGAGGTGCAATGGGCAAATGACACTCCCAATCTCCAGATATGTCCGGAAAGTCTTCCAGATGCCATCTTCCAGTCGCCTTCAGCACCGATTTGACGAGGCTTCCAGTCCCCCTGTACAACACCCCGTGTCTGATGTACCGTTTCACGAAGCTTATCTCCCAAAGATCGCTGGACCGCTCCATCAGCTCGCCGTTGAGGATCTCGATATCCCCCGCGGGCTCTTTGCCATGCCCGGTGATTCCGCCATCCGATGTCATGGAGATATGAAGGTCCATATTGTACCTTCTCTGCCCCACTGGCCACCGTGGGTCTTCGAACCACGCATAATAATCCTGCTTGCCTGTGTGAACGGGCGCCATGATGATGATAGTCAGTGGAGTATCCTGTACGCTACAAAATCAATGTAAAACACCGGGAAATATATCACGGTACGGGTTCATTTCGAGCATGGCTTACGATGGAGGAACCATAAATTTCAAGCCATCATGTGGCCATTTCATGTAATAAGAATAAAATTTAGCGAATATTAACCATAGAGCTATATACTACATAATAAACCCACCTCCTTGGATGCAACTTAGCTTTCGTCACACTTTGTAAAAGATGACGTTTTTTACCGACTTAATGTCATAATCATCGTGAAAATGTCTGCCTCAATTCGGGAAGATCAGGCTCACCATGGAGCTATAAAAAGCTCCATGGACTTTGTACTAACACTAAGCTTCACAGCATGTGCATTGCATCGTATATTGATCTAAAACGGATACGCATTTGTCGAAATAAGTTGACACCCCTAGGCCTCCTCCCTAGCCAGTGTCATATAAAAATCAGACTCCTATTTGGATTATTTTACCAAAGTTAAACCCTCTCACATGAACCGTGAGTCCTCACATAATTATCCTCACCACCTAGGCACGCGCATACAACCAATTAGCCCGTAATTTATGGAGTCATAAATTTATGCTACACCTGTGTGCATAATGCTTTGACTTTGACCGTCAACACAAGTATGGCGAGTGAATGAAACATGCTGTTGTACATGTTTGCTTTTAACTTAGTTCGGATATATAAATCCGTTCGTAATTTGCGAGGAAAAAATGCGCAAACGAATGAAATGAATCTGCGCCAAATTTACAAACCAAAATTACTTATCGACCGTAGTACTGAAAGTTACCAGGGCCCAGTGCTACAGCGCTCATGGTTGTTGAGAGCATTGAAAAACGCCATTGCCTATACAGTGGCTTAGCACTGAGCCTCAGTTTCAATGCTAAGCAGAGTGACCATAAGGTCAGAGCAAAATTCTGCTAAATGCACATCAAAAAGATGTCAGATTTATAAAAAATCTGCCAAATTCCTCAAAATTACTCGAAATACACTATAAACACTTAAAATCACATGCCAATGGTAGCATTGCCTTAATTAAGATTCAAATTACATAATAAACAATCTAGTCATAGCCGGGGGGGGGCTGGAACATTTCATGGGGGGGGGGGCGTCATGCAGTGGCGTCAATCCCTTCTCAAAAGTGGGGGGGGGCCCGACATACCTTGATCAGAACTGATGCGAGCGCGAAGCGCGAAGCCTTTACGGCGTGGGGTTCGGGGCCCGCTTAAGGGCCCCGAAAAAAAATGATTCTAGATGTTCTGTGGTGTGATCTGAAGCAATTTCTTACCACTTTCCTCCATGCTTTAACTAATATTTTCTTAGCAAAAGATAATTATTTGAGCATCGTTTTCGAGGGTGGAGTCATTGAATCAGCTATCGGTATTCTGAGCTATAGGCGTGGGGTCCGGGGCCCGCTTAAGGGCCCCGAAAAAAATAGGATTCTCGATGCTCTGTGGTGTGATCTGAGGCAATTTCTTACCACTATAACCAATAATTATCTTAGCACAAAAGATAATAATTGAAACATAATTTTCCAGGTTTCTCAGCTAAAGGCTTAAGAAAATTTTTATAACATTGTTTTCGAGTGTGGGGTCACTGAAACAGCTACCAGAATTCTGAGTTTTAGGCGTGGGGTTCGGGGCCCGCTAAAGGGCCCCGAAAAAAATTGGATTCTAAATGCTCTGTGGTGCTATCTGAGGCAATTTCTGACCACTTTAACCAATATTTTCTAAGCAAAAGATACATTGAAGTACATAATAGGGCCCTGTAAATGAGACACGAGTTCAAAAATATATTGTATATTTAGTATCTGTATTGTGGGGCTCAGAGTCCACGCATTGCTGACGATAGGCTTTCAAAGAGCACTTTGGAAATATCCATTCAGTTTGGATATTATACTTCCTGAATTTCTGAACAAACGAGCACATTTATAAAACAATATTTCATTACCATTATTTTTTTCAGTGTGGTGGTGCTGGTGGGGTGGGGGTTGGGGGGGGGGAGGGGTGGGGGGGGGCTAGACAGACGATATTTCCGAATAACGCAATTAGACAAACCGCGGGCCCAATAAAATCCCGATTGATGAGGGTTCACAACATGTCTACGCGAGCATGCATCAAAAAGTGCCCCACAATTGTTTTGGAAAAAAAGATAACATTTACGATAACATCCAACATATCTTTTCAATTTGAGTCGTTTCTAGTTCGTTTCATTTAATTTCGCTTTGCTTATTTTTTTTCTATATTGCGCAGAACTTTGAAGGTGCTATCGAAGAATTCAAAGCGGCCACGCCCCGTAAAGACAAACATTATACCCCCGGGAGCAAAAGAAGGAGAGAAGACTGCGTTCTTTCTTGACATTGTCTTCACGGAAGAGGTGAACATCAATCACAGTCTTCATAATCCGTCTTCGTTATAAGTTTGAGCCTTTTTGATATCATTACATGTATATTGCATTTAGTCAAGGAATACAATTATGTGTGAAGGTAAAATGAATCAATCTGCATGTAGTAAAGCAAAAATAATCGGCCCTGTAACATTCCCACGAACTTGAAAGTTGTCTCCTCTTACGTTCTAGCTTAATTCTCATTATTTATCATCTTGAAGGAATGTAAGGAACTCATTCGATGTTCTGAGGAGAAGGGGTACGAGCAAGCATTGGTCAACGTTGGCGGTGGGAGGTAATTTGCAATGTTTCGCAATAAGGTTTCACACTACTCTAAAAATAGTCTCCAAATTGCTTTAAAAAAACCCCACCTGTTTCCAACATTTTTTCCAAAATATATTAAATTAGTTGCCAATTGACGACGTGGCATAAATTATTGTTTATCATTTAAAGGGAAAATACAACATTTGCAAACATCAAAAAATAAAACTACCAAAATATTTTGAAATACCTTGCCGGACTGTTAGTGAATGACAGTGTAAAGCATCCTGTAAAATCATGGCACCTGGTATACTGTCATTTTCAAGTAAAGTGGTATTTTTGTATCAATTTCCAACGCTGATCAGCCGACCAGCGTTGGAAAAACTGGCTTTTTTTCAAATACTGGCCCCAGTTGACCATTGCACTTGTTTACAATCGATTACACACCTATGAACGGGTACAAGCCAGCTAGACTGGTTCCCTGACGTTACAATTCCCCAATATATGTAAACTGCTCTGTTTCTTCTTAAATGGAGTCAGGGAACCAGACTACAGAAAAATGATTGTTTTTCTTAGTTTTTATAGCATTTTCGAACCAAAAACCTAAAAAAAAGTCAGTGTAACTGTATTTGCTATATATTTCCAACTCCCCAATTCCATCCATTTCTGAAAATTACAGCAAAAGCAAATGATGTATATTCCCTTTAAGTATGTAATGGGCCTTTTGGAATTAGTTTATTAGGTGGATGTTATTTTGACTAACACTAACTGTGTCAAGGCATTGAATGTTTTGAAAGTTTCGCGTTGTAGTTTTATCTGTTATGTTAAAAAGGAACCCATTGTTTTTCTTCAAAGTTTAATATGATCGATTCCATCTCTTTCTCTTTGAGATTTTTGGCACCCGTTAACGCGATCCAATGATCTCACAAGATACAGTAACACTAAATTATAGTCTTCTAAACAGCCGCTATTTGTTGTAACTATTTAGACAGAAGCTGATGCTCTCGGCTCGCAACAACCAGCGCTGTTTGATCGACTCGACTGAGCTGGTCGACGCCTTCTGGGAGACACTAGCCGAGTTCATTCCGCAGACGTTTTACGGATACAAAGCCCTAGGACTGAACGAGAGGTGAGCATAATGCGTTCTTCATCAAGATTGGTTTTAATCTCGAAAGAGTCCATGGTGTTTTTTTTAATTTGGTGATTTTTCATTTGTTTCTTTCCTTTTTAGACTGCGATTTCTGCGATACGATCCGGGTGAATACTTCAAGCCGCACTTCAATGGAAGCTATGAGCGCAAAAATGGAGAACACTCCATGGTCACTGTGCAGATTTATCTAAACGAGGTATTGTTTTGTTTTGGGATTTGTTTGATCTTTGTTGGATTATTATCAATCAACCATTTCTGGTAATGAAACTAAGGATTCCTCAAAAGCGTCCTGGGCACTGTAGCTCGCAAGCCTGAAGAAACCTGTAGAGAGGAGACAATGAGATGGGAGGAAAAGCCCAGAAGAATATTCTGGGAAAAAGCCACGGAATCAGGCAGGGACTGAAAACCCAATCCACATATTGGCCCGGTGGGATTTGAACCTGGGTCACAGTGGTGGAAGGCGAGGAAAGTATACCGCTATGCCAACCTGACTTCCCTTGTTTGTTTGTTTGTTTATTGGTGGAGGTTTTTAGCTTCTAGATATTCTAATAACATACCATCACGTCTGTTAGTTAACAAACTTTGACTTTGTCAATTGCATGCTCCTAGTATAATGTTGACCGATATCAACCAACTTGTCAAAAGTATAGCCCGGCCCCAACATGTCACATGACTAAAGTGAGGTCTAAGGTCCCCATGGGATCGCTGCGGTCAAAAACCCGATTTTGCTTTTAAAAAAACGTGCTAAAAACCACGTGCTAATAATTTCTCAACTAAGAGAATGGTTCTGAACCATTCTCTTAGTTGAGAAATTATTCGCACATGGTGTTTCCGAAAACCTTTCATTATTTAGTATCTTCACCATGCAAAGCCTCAAAATCTTACTTGATATTATAATAATTAGTTTCTCCCCTCCAATTGACAAACTTTATGAATTTTTCTACTCCGTGTATTTTTAATTTTTGTTTGGTTGCTGTTTAAGATTTTCTAAGTGATGAGGTTTTGTGCCAAGTTAAATTGTGCTAAGGTGCATTTCACTCAAATAGGATAGGTAGCTAGCAATAGCCCTGAGTATGAATAAATATATGCAAAGCATATGCAATACTATATTTGGTCTGATTCCTGCTCCCTGCATTCAACTTAATAACGATTACGTTTGCGCGGAACTAGTAGGCCTAATTGCAAAATGGCAACAAATAAGGCTATAAATTATGCAGTTTCTGCGATGAAGAGCTTCGACTTTCGCTGAATTCGAAAGTGACTCTAGCAACTTTCAATAAAGACAGGGGCACTACTTTTTAGTATTTGATGCAGTTGAAGATGCTTGCATGTTCCTTTGTCGGAGACACTGGCGATTTAGCCTATACTGCATGGTTGTGGTATGACTTGTTCATTACCAAAGTTCACGATTGAAAACAAATTATCGCAAAAATATATATTATAAATTACTTCAAAACTTGGCCAAATATTGATTTCTCACAAAAAGGCTCAAAATTGAGGCTCAACTCGCCCGAGTCTAAAAAGGCTACATTTACATATTTCCCAGCATTAATTTAATCGTACATGTATTCTCATGTTATCATGCAGCTGGAGGTGCAATTAACAAGTTACATTCCCAATTCCCGCTTATGATATGAAAGTTTTCCAAATGCCAGTCTCCAGTCACCGTCAGCACCGAATCGATCAAGCATCCTGTTCCCCTGTAAACCACGCCATGCGTGCTGTACCGCTTCATGAAGCCGATTTCCCAAAGACCGCGGGACCGATTCACCGGGGTCAGCTCGCCGTCGTGAAGCACGAATTCCTTCACGATGTCCTTGCCGTGCCCGGTGATTCTGCCACCCTTTATGACGGAGATTCGGAGATCCATGTTGTACCGTATCAGCTGCATCCGTCGGTCCTGGAACCATGCGTAATAATCGTGGTCTCCCATCACTCACCCTTGAGCCATGACGAGTAGGGGCCCGCCGGCGAATTCCAGGCCGCAACATCCATTTAAGCGCTTGTACAATCCTCCGTTGGATACAACCTTTCACCCCAACTTGACCCAGTGTAAAAGATGGAGTTTTCATCGACTCGTCATGGCACAGCGGCGCTGTGAGAATCTCTGTGGAAAGTGTGCCCGTCCATTCTGTAAATTAAACAGAAATCTACAGCTAATTATAACATGTCGCACACGTTGGATATCTGATGCAGGCCTATTATATAGCTTTCATTGCTTTTGCAACACGGATAGAAACAGCTTGATCAACCCTTCGGTCACTGCTTGGTAGTTATGAAGCCGGCCGGTGTGGCAGTTAATTCTGTCCCCCCTGGTAAATGTGTCCCCCGGACAATTTTACCGGCTCGTGACACGGTAAATCTGTCCGGGGGGACACATTTACCTAGGTAGATCTGTCCCCCTCCCTGGTAAATATGTCCCCCTGGCCAACGTTGAAAGTGTCCCCCCTGATAAATGTGTCGTGTTCGTGATGTGAGCGCGCATCGCAGCAAGTACATGCTGCAAGATTTGTGGCAGCGTTTATCGCATATGTGTACATATTGTTACACAAAGGAAATTCAACCAATATGAAATTTCGTTACGCGCTACGATGGGAACGCAGACCAATCCCAAGTAGGCGTTATATCAATGAGGCGTCCACCGTAGAATAGGGCTACACCGTACTCCGGAATCGATCGAAACATTGTGTTCACATCTAAGAAAGAGACCAAAAAGTGAAATTTTTCATCTTCAAGAAGGGCAGACTAAAGAGTAAAAAAAAAGTATACCTTGTAGAGTGATTTCATCTATACTACAATTCAAGGAATCTCTTTCTGTCTGTCTGTCTGTCTGTCTGTCTGTCTGTCTGTCTGTCTGTCTGTCTGTCGTGCTGTCTGTCTGTCCGTCGATTATCTCCAGAACCGGGCACCGTATGAAGTTGAAGATCGGCGGGTGTATTGTTCGGGACAACAGAATGTGCAGTGTCAAGTTTGAAGGGGTTTGGAAGAGGGGTTCTCGAAAAAGCTTCAAAAAAGTACTGTTTTCTGAGCCTCAACGTTGCAGTATACAGCATAGAACATAACACCACGCACTGGTGTTCTTTTCAATTGTTAACGTCATGTTATATCCGTACGTGATGACTGCACGGGCACATGCATTTTAAAGTCGACTGAGCAACCATTGTAGGCGGTCGACTACATTACTGCAGGGCGATACCATTGTCCACTCAGTAGGGGTGAATATCTACGTTATTTTTTGCAACTTTTTCGACAACCACTCGCCCAAACAACTTCAAACTTGGCACAAACTTTGATGTGAGTGTGCGTTTAACCTGTGAAAACAACACCATTGAATCGCGTGCCTTGTTTGCACGAGCAGTTCTCAAAAACTCTGCAAGCATGCAACCAATAGTCTACCAGCGCAGAGGAATTTGCGCTTCCCGAACATGCACATTACACTGCACTAGTCTTACTATAATTCCAGGAATCTCTGTCTGTCTGTCTGTCCGTCGATTATCTCCAGATTCGGGCACCGTATGAAGTTGAGAATCGGCGGGTGTTTCTCGGGGCCACAGAATGTGCAGTGCCAAGTTTGAAGTGGTTTGGATGAGCGGTTGCACTGCCGTTCTTTTCAATTGTTTACGTGATGTTTAAGCTAAAGCGCGCGTGCTCAATATGACGCAAACAATGCAAAAAGGACGGGCACGCGCACGTGCATTGTAGGGCGTTACATTGTCCAGTATGGGTGAATAGCACTGCATACCATGTTTTTGTATGTACACGGGTACAATATTTTTGCAGTCGACTGAGCGACCATTGTAGGTGGTCGAACTTCAAACTTGGCACAAACTTTGACGTAAGTGTACGTTCAACCTGTGAAAACAACACCATTGAATTGCGTGCGTTGTTTGCACGAGCAGTTCTCAAAAACTCTGCAAGTATGCAACCTATACCAGCAGCAAAGCAATTTGCGTGTCCTGAACATGCACATTTTAGACAGGCACTGTACTTGTCAAAACAATATAGAGAACTGGCCTTCTGCGGTGCAAAACTAGGGGGACAAAAAAACCTGGAGGGGACAGAATTACCTGAAGGGGGACAGAATTAACGGGCCGGGGAGGACACTTTTACCTAGGTATAATTTAGCCTTGGTCAATGCTCTTGTCGTTATTCGTCCCGTACGCGGTCAATCGTCGGCATACATGTATATCCTCACGCGCTATGCACATGCATGTAAAAATACAGCGCGAACAGCGACCTCACGCGGCCACTATTTTTATATGCAAATCAGTTGGGGCGATCGAGAGCCTTGGTTCAATCGTCCATGTGAGGTTTTTGGGGTGGTGCTCATTATGTTAATAGCCTAAGCTGACCTTAAATGTCGTTTTCTTATTGGCCGATCGTTGCGTGGAAACTTGCATAGTGAAACGTGGCAAGTGAAACGTGGCACCGTACATAATCCATACACGTACGTACACAAAAAATGTGATTCCTGTCACGTCCGCAAAAGGCGAATAGCTGCAAATAATTTGATGACGTCCGGATTTACCAAGGTGTGATTGGACACTCCACATATTGGCCCCGCCTACACTTATCTGTATTCGCAAACGAGGTCGTGCGCTAGAAATCCAGCGCAAAATAAAGAAAAACATAAGCTTTTGCCGACGATTGAACCAAGGCTCGAGATCGTCCCCAACTGATTTGCATAAAGTAATACTGGCCGCATGAGGTCGCTGTTCGCGCTGTATTTTAACGTGCATATAGCGCGTGAGGATGTGCCGACGATTGACCGCGTACGGGACGAATAACGACGAGACCATTGACCAAGGCTAGGTATAATTCTGTCCCCCCCCCGACACTTTTAACGGGGGACAGAATTACCGTCCACACCGGCACGGCGCTGCTGGCGCTATCGTATGAAGCCCGGGAAGGGACTGGGTGGAAATTTTGTTCGCACGAATGTATAATTCGTTCGCACGAATAACTAATTCGTTCGCACGAATGACTAATCCGTTCCCACGAATGACTAATTCGTTCCCAAGAATTACTATTTTGTTCCCACGAATTGCTAATTCGTTCACACGAATTCCTATTTCGTTCGCACGAATTACTATTTCGTTTGCACGAATTACTCATTCGTTCGCACGAATGACCAATTCGTTCCCACGAATTGCTAATTCGTTCGAAAGAATTGCTAATTCGTTCGCACGAATTGCT